TTCCAGCTGCTGAATTAACGCTGTCTTCAGCTTTAGGAAGGAATTAAGAATGTAGGGATGAATGTTTTTCTGTTAGGTTGCCCTGCACAAGGGCTGTTTCTAGGTAGATGAGTTTGAAGGACCTTAGTGATTTTTCTGAAGGACAGCAGAGATCTGTAGATGTGGGAGAAGTGTTACCCTCTGCTGGGAGGGAGGAGGCAAGGCTGAATGTCAATTTTTAATGCCTGCTCCTGTGAATTTTCATGTGAAAGGAGGCATTTGGAATTTTTTATATAGAATTTAATATTTCAAGCCTGAGATTAAGCATTCAGCATGAATATCCAGAGTTCATTTGAAAAGTAATCATTAATGCAGCCATGAACTGAGATAGCCTAGATGAACTCTTTCATCTAGTATTTATGAAGGATAGTTCAAAGCTTGCCTGGGTACCAAACAGAGACTTCAAGGAGATAACACTAGTGCATGATATTATCTTAAAACAGGAAAATTTATATAAAGATAAATCTAGTCTAGTGAAAATAAGTACATTTTAATGTGTCTATTTGTCTGTTGTGTTTTACTGAGAAACAACCAACTTGTTTTTAGAACTAATGTACTTATTTTTTTTAATAACTAATTCTTTCCACTTATGTGGTTGAGCAGATAGATTTAAAAAGTGCTAAAAGGGAAAGATGACATGCTCTACAGCCTCAGCAGCAGTATAAAATGGCACAGGAAAAGCTACACTGTCAGGCAGGAAACAACTAGAAGGGCTTTATGCAATGTTGCTGGATTTGCTGTACTCTGAAGGCTATGAACTTGTAATTTTAAGGACATTCTCAGCTGTCTGTGCTTTGTTATACATGAGGACAGAAGGATGATGTGAAGAAAATGCAGAGGAACCTTTCAGAAAGTGGTTTGTATTCAAGCCCTTGAATATGTATGTCCCTTCATCTGTATTCTGTGAGGGACGTGGGCATGTGTTTTGGGTGATTTGCTGCTGTGTGTACACTGATGCCGACTGCTGTGTCTACAGTTCAAAGAGCACGAGCAAACCAGATATGCATGATCATGTAGAATCTCAAACAATGTAGCATACTGTTGTTTATGTTCTTTACTTAAGGAGCTGTCAGAAAGTTTTTCTTAAAAATCTTCTCTCCTTTGTCTTTTTTTTTTTTTTTCAGCTTTCTGAACTCCTGTACTGTGTGGCTCATTCAGGTTGTAAACTGGAATAACACAGGATGCATTAGTTTGTCTCTTACTACTTAATTCCAAATGGTATTGAACCCTCTGGACTTCATTTGATGTAGCATTTGCCTGGTGAAAAATTGAACAGTTGCTATAAAGCCATCTGGGACAATGTGGATGTTCACAGCAGAGGAGTTGTAGTACCCTTTGGAATTAGAGCCTCCATGCTCAGAACATAGCAAGATCCAGGTCTTAGGAAGCATTGTTAGTATCTTAGAAGAACTGGAAAAGCTTTTCAATATTGTATGCTTCTTTCTACACAAGTTGTAGAAATAACTCCTGCCTTTTGTGTGCCCTCTTCCTGCACAGAGTCTGGTATGAAATAGCGCATTTTCTGATGTCTCAGCCACTTCCATGGCTGATGTACTCTGTCCAGTTGACTCATCATTGTGTATGTTTTCTTGACTTCTAATTAAAACCTGTCCTAGTCTAATATTAGACCAACACTCCTTGTTATATCACCCTTCATTCTTAAGTAATTCATCCTGCAACCTCCTTACTCTGTATGACTAATGTCTTTTTCTCAAATATTCTTAGAACATTTTAAAATACCATCTATTTTATAAGCAGCACAGTAGCAATACCTCCCATTACAATTGCTCAACGCTTTCTGTCATAGCTCAGTGCTTTCTTTTCCTTAGGATTTTGATGAGACTTTAACCTTTGGCGGAATTTTCCATGCATTGGTGTTTGCCTCAGCCTGAAATTTCCACTTGAGACTGGGATTTTTTTGTTTGTTTGCTGAAAGTATAATCAGTATTTCATAGAAAAGGCACATCTAAATCAGCTTCTGTTAGTTTCTCTCACAGAAGAGACAGATTTATGTACTTAGAGTTTGTTTTTTTTTTAAAGGATCCCTAGGCAGTTGTTTTTTGGCTGAAAAATAGAAATGATTGACTATTAGCAGGAGTCTGAGCATGGGATGGGGAATGCTTAGCAAACAGGAACAAGTCTGGGTAAGGAATGTGTCTCAATAAGAATTGAGAACTGCATTGATGAGCAGTGAGAAGGAACTGGTTGCTTAACTCATCTTTGGACATTCAAGAAATTCTTCCTAAAAGCAAAAATTAATTTATCTGGCTTTATATTTTTTAATGAATGTTTTCCATGCTTGTTGTATAACCACCTGAAACTCATTTCCCTTATTATGGCAAAAAAGAAAAAGCTAATTGCAGTGGTCTGTCTTTGTAATTGGAAACATTTTACATTCATGTTTTACAGAAGCTTTTTACATTCTGCTAAGGCTTCTCTTTGGTTTTGCATGTGTAAGTGATTCTTTGCTGGCTTGTCCAGTGAAAGAAAATAGAATCTGTGGATGCCAGGTGTTTTGTTATAGCTAAGCACTATTGCTGTTTTAATCCTTCATACATGTTTTCAGTCTTCAGTTCTATTGGAGCAGTACTTTGGTGGGATGGTACAAAGGTTCATTTTTGTTATGTGAGTGGCTGGTGTTTCTTGTTCGTGTCTGGGTGCAGAGGGTGCAGACAGAGCACCAGATTAATCTGAGGAAGGAGTTTCTTCCCCCCAAAAGGTTGAGTTGAGAGAAACCTTTGTTGCCTCTGTGTACGGAAGGTGCTTTAGACTGTGTGAGCATCTGGGTATATATTATCAGTTCAAAGCTTGCCTTTTCAGAGGCCTTGCAGCTTGCTGATGTTTTTGCCTGTGGCACTTGATACTTTTGGCTTCTGAGAGCTGAAATGCTTTAATTCAACTATAGTCCTTGGGATCAATACAGCAATGTCTGGGTAGGGCTTGAGAGCTTGTGGTATATTAATGATCTAACTAGATGTTAAAAAAATCCTTTCTGGCTTTAGATTTCATAAAACTCTGTTTCAGTTCCTGTAGTTAATATAAAATAGAGCAGCCTGCCTATCCTTTCCCAGTCCACTAATAGGGTTCTGTAGAAGTGCAGTAACCTGGTCAGATGTAAAAGCCTGAAGTCTAGTCTATATTTGAATTTGTTATGTACATTTTGGCAGCTGCAGATGTTTTTAGCAGAGATATCTATAAATTGAAAGGTAAATATACTAACTTCAGAACAAGCATCTTTTTTAAACCTCAAACTGTCTTCCTAATCTAAGATACACTAGTTGTTCTCTTAATGAGATTTATTTTTATCCTTTAACATAACAAAATGTGGCTGCTATGTTAAAAGACCTCACTTGTATTGAATGTAGTATGTGACTGTTTTCAGCTTATCCCTGAACTGAAAGGAAGCTGCAAAGGAAAAAAGCATTTTGCCCTTGAGAGAGAAGGACAACTAATTTTATCACTTAATTATTTTAGGGGAAGCATTATCAGTGAACTGAGAGAATGAATCTGAAAAACTTGCAGTGATTGGAGTGAAAGATACCCCTGCCAGCAGATTTCCAAGGAAAATGCCTATACTCCTCCTGTATATGAACTGAGGTTTCCACTTCATTTACAAAAAGCATTATCACCTTAAACTCCACAAACTAGCAGAGTCCATCTGTGTCCCTTTCAAAAAGTTTAACATCACCCTAAGGAAAAGAGAGGTGTTCAGATTTCCAAGGGTTTGTATTTTGGTGTCTGTTTAGAAACCTCACAGCTGTTATCTTTGGGTGGTGTGACCATACCTCCTGCCCCTGACCCCTTTGTGGCGTGTGCATGTACTGACTGACAGGCAGGGAGAGGTAGGTAGGTGTGTGTGTGTGTGTGTGCAAGCTGACTTGCTGGACTAGATGGTGTTTTCCTCAAATCCACATCTTTTGGCTTATGATGACTTGAGTTCAACTCCAGAGAGCAGTTTGAGGCTTGGCCAAAGCGTGTACATAACTCAAGGTCATTGCAGGTTTCTTTCTGGGCTGGAATGTGGGTTGATGCTTCTAGTTAAAACCAAGCTGAGGACTTTACCTTAAGCTGCGTGTATATAACTTTTTTAATTGGCATCCAGAAGGAACAGCTTTTCATGACTTACCTGCAGAGATCTAGTCACTTTATTAAGAAAATAAATCTGTCACTTTGTAATGATTTTTTTTTTTTTTAAATTAAAGGGAAGCAAAGGTAAGAAGGATGTTTATGGATGTTATCCATACAGTAGAATGATGTTTTGGGTGTCAGTCCTTCAGCAGTGAACTTGATATAATGACCCTTGGAGAGAAGGGTGAGCCATGTAGTGCTGATTTCATTTAAAGTTACCTTTCCTTGGCCAACGTGGGATTCCTGTGAAAACAAACCAATGCGTTTCCAATACTTAATGGCAGTTGTGCTGGTGTTCCTGACTAACCAGCTGTCTCCTGAGGACTATAGCTCTGCTAACAGTAGTGACAGAATCTAACTTCAGGAAAACACAACACTCTGTTAAATGCAGGTCATGCAATGAATTGTCTATGGCAAAGAATGGGAAGAGAAAATAATTCTCTCTCCTGTAATTTTTTATGTGTCAGAATAAGCTGTTTTGTTTGTGCTTCCATTAACCTAAAATACGTCCTTTGTGCAACCAAGGTGTATTTATTGTATGCAGAATACCCAGGTTATACAGCTTTACTGACATGGTTTATTTACAGCCCAGGCCACCATCCAGATGTTATTCTGCTAGAAAACAAGTGAAGAATGAGTAGCTTCATAGAAGTATAACATAATATCTTGAGCTAGTTTTTAATGTTTTTTTTTTTTTTGTTCCCAGAAATAAGTTTTCACCAGGCTTTTGAAGCTGTAGATAAGATGCACTAAAAAGTTCTGGTTTTGAAATGGCATCCACGTGTTTCAGGAACTTGGTGAATAAATAATCTTTAAATGTGTTTTGCGTTTAGAAGCTGGCAAGGTGTTCACCTGGGGCAGAGTGCACTATGGGCAGCTTGGAAGGCACGTGGTGGTTCCGGATGGGCAGCAGAGCACAGCATCTGAACAGTGCTTCTTGGAGCTGTTGTGTAACACCCCTGTTTCAGTTCCTTGCCTAAATGGAGCATCTCAGGTAAAGAAGAAAATTACTATTTCCATCCCCCTGGATTTTTTTTTTTTGTTTTTTTACATTAAAATAATCAGAATAATTTCCTAATAGAACTCTTCCAAATACTGTGGCACAAGCCCTTGCTTGCTCTTCCTGTAAGGTCAGAAATTAATAAGATTCAATTGTTTCTTTTAAAAGGCTTTTGAATTCAGGAGTCTGAATCTTTTTGCATGGTGGAATCAGCTTTAGCAAAAGATTCCAAGTTCTCTAAGGTATCAATGTGTGCAGGTGTAAGTTGTGCCTGCAGTGCAGTTGAACAGAGTATGTGGGACTTTGCCCAGGTGCAACACTACTTTTGTCTGAAACTTCAGACCCCACAAGTGGTTGTCCCTCTGATCCAGGGGGAAGGCTTGCACAGCCATATAAACAGTTCTCCTGGCTTGTATTGCAGCTGAGAAGAGTGGAAATTCCCAGTACTGTGGGGGCAGTAACAAAAAACTTGTGATGTGTTTGAGACATGTGGTTGATGGCTGATCCAGAACTTCTGCCCACTAAGCTTACTCTTGATCTATTGTGCTCCTTGAGAAGTCTCCAGTTTGAGTTGCAGGGTGAGTGAAGAAGGGGACATGTTCAGGAAAGCAGAGAAAGAACAGGCAGATGGAGGGCTTTGTTTAAGGTGCAGCCTTGTTGGTTTAAAATCAGATTAATGATCTGTCCAGGTGCCACTCTCAGAGTGTAGTCATCCAGGGCATTAAACTTTAGCAAGGTATTAAAGAGAAGCTTTGAAACTTCTGCCTTGTTCTAAAAAAGGTTGAAGAATTTCAGTCAACCAACCCAAAAGTTCTCCAGCCACATGGCCCAAGTTGCAGAGAGCAAAGACAGGGACAAGGAGAGTGAAACACTACTTAACTCCCGGAGAAGATCAGGTTTGAGACCCTTTAAGGAACCCAAAGGTGCACAAGTCCATGGGACCTGATGTCATATATCTGTGGGTCCTGAGGGAACTGACAGAGCAACTGGGGCAGGCCACCATCTATCATACTTGAAAAACTGTGGCAGTTTAGTGATGTTCCCACTGGAAAAAGGGAAATATAACCCCGGTTTTAAAAAAGGGAAATGAGGAAGACCTGGGGAGCTACAGATTGGTCAGCCTCACTGACTCACTGGTCTGTGTGCCTGGCAAGATCATGGAACAGATCCTGGAAACTATGCTAAGGCACAAGGAAAATAAAGAGGTGATTTGTGATAGCCAATATGGCTTCACCACAGCAAGTCTGACCACCAGCCTGACAAATCTGGTGGCTGTCTATGGTGGGGTTACAGAAATGGTGGATGAGGGAACAGCAACTGACATCATCAATGGACCTGTGCAAAGCATTTGACACCTTCCCACATAACATCCTGTCTTTAAATTGGAGAGACATGGGTCTGATGTGTGTATGACTCAGTGGATAAAAAACTGGCTGGACCTTTGCAGTTACAGGGCTGAGGTCAGTGCCTTCATGTCCACCTGGAGACCAGGGGGCAGTGGTGTTCCTGAGGTGCTGGTGTTGGGATCCATGCTGTTTGTCAGTGACAAGGACTGTGAGATGGAGGGCATCCTAAGCAAGTTTGCCAGTGACACCAAGCTGTGCTGTGTGGATGACACGCTGGAGGGAAGGGATGCAGTCCTGAGGGACGCTGTCTGGGGCCCCAGAGCCCATGATGCTGCACTAATGTTTAGTCACTTTTAACTCCTCTGAGTCTCAGCTTTCTTACCCGTTTTGAAATGGGTGTCTCTCCTTTTTCTCATTAGTTTTGTATAGACAGCTCAATTTCTGAATCTACTTCACACAGAATCTGCTTCATATTTTTCATCTCTGCTGTGTGCAGTGTCTCAAGTATGTTGTTACATCGTTTATCAGACAATGCGAAGCCAAGGCAGCTGCAGCTTTTGCACAGTGGAACTTACCCTTGGCAGGACAAGTGATCCATGAAAGCGAAGGGATGTATTCAGATACATTCCTTGAAAAGAAAGAGAAACAATAATCTCATCTTTATTCTGCTGCCCTCAGCGCTGTTCCACTTTATAGACCTGTGAGAGACCTGATTGGAGTGATTAGCAATGGCAGTGTTCTGGAGCAGACATCATTCTTTGCAGAGATAACAGCACAAAGATGACTTAAGAGGATCATCTGCTAGGATCATCATAGCTAGGAGGAGCTGTGTTGATGAAAAAAGTAAAAACAGATAGTAAGGACCTAAATTGTTTCACTTCAAGGTTACAAAATAATGCCAAAGCTAGAATTTTTACTTGAAAATGCACTAAACTGCAGTATCTAGGCCATGTAGAGTGACCTGTTCTTTGTTAACACACAAGCTACATCTTTTTCCATTTCTTGTCATATGGAGACAGGATTTGATTTGAGAGCTGAATTGAAAAGAATACAGAGAAGATGAGTTTTTCCATGTTTACCTTGAATTAACAATTCCAATTTTTGTGTTTAATGCAGAGAGACAGTTTAACAGTTGAGGATTATGACTGATGATTTTTATTCATGGTCTATTTTTATAAATCACTTTTAATGATTCAACTGAATTTTTGGCAAAGCTGTGGTCTGCTGATTGCCTCTGCAGTTCAGTTAATATTGTTAAAGCCAAAGTGGAGAAACTAATCTAAGGATTAGAGGACAGTATAAAAGACACGTGAGTTTAGCTCAAGGACAGCGCAGTAGATTTAACCTCCTGTGTTGCTCCTTGTCTCCATGCCCATGGCTTGCCTACTTTCTTCACCAAAGACCAGGGATTCTCTTTTCTTTGAACTGACACTGTTATAATGTCTGTGTCTGCCACTTAAAAACTGATTTTTGAAGTGTTGCAAGTGACCTATTACATTGTGAGTTTGACTTCAACTGAAAACACTGCCCTTGAGAAATAAGAGCACTTTTTCCCTTTAAACGGAAGCAAAGGAGGATCAAAAGCCTGAGTTTTAGATAATTATCCAGTAATCTGAGTGTGTCTTCCTGGCTGGTTTAAAGTGTGGAGGTTCCTGGTGTTGAATGTTTTAAGTTCTTGCATTTTACCACTGCAGGTCTATTTGCTGTTTTCTTCTGTGTGCTTTGGTGCCTAATCAACATGGAACAGGCCATGGCACCGAGAAGTTGTTGTGTGAAGCATTTTGCAGGCGGTGCTCTTGTGTTGTGGGGCGTCCTTGATGGGGCCTCTTCAGAACATCTGACTCATCTGATGCGCATTCATCCACCGCTCTTCAGATGAAAGGACAATTAAATACAAATGGCCCAAAATATGATGAGTCTCTGTATTTAGCAAATGCTACAAAGATCTGGTTTAATGTTTCCTCCTTGTCAAAATGCTTTCCCAGTCTGTTTGATATTTTTGGCTTTAATAGCTATCGTTCTACTGTTTGTGGTATGTTCAGCATGTCATTCACATTGCAGCAAACATTTGCTGCAGCAATAAACAAGTGAGAAGCGTCTGTGCAGTGCTGAATATTTCTTGCTAAGCTGGATGGAAGGAAGGGCTGCAGTTATTTTGGGCATGCATGGCTTCACATGGAGCCATGTTTTCATCATGTCCTTTTCTATTCAAAGCAAACTCTGCTAGATCACAGGTTTCTGATGAGAGATCTCTGAAATTTCACTTAGGAAATTAAAAAATAACCATCACTCAACTTGAATCTTGATGATGGATGTAGGGACCAGTTGTGTCAGGGAATGAAAATAACTGATAGCCTTGTGACAACGTGTTTATCTTGATCCATGGTCCATGGTTCCAATGTGTATGTTCATCCTGTGCAATACATATTGCTTTGGATCCTCTGTATGGTTCCTTTCTTTCAGGGAATGACATCATACATACCCACATTCTCATGGCACTTTGCAGTCAAAGTTTATTGCTGTAGTTTTCAATGCAGTTGCAGTAAGATGCCATTTTTGTTTAAGTGCTTGAAAGGTAGCTTTGGTTTTAGCATATTCTTGTTTTTCTTCCTTTCCCTGTTCATGTTGCAAGCTATTAAGCAGCTGCCTACAAGAAAAATCTAAGATATTTGTATGATGATAGTTAATTGTTTATATAACTGATAAATGTATACACGTTATTACCTTAACACATGGTCACAATAATGTTGAAAATGGAACCTTTTGGTTTTAAAAAAAATGACAATAGTTTTTGACTTACCAGGGAAATCTGTTAGAGGCCTCTTTTTAAGCAAACCTATAGTTGAGGCTTTAAGGGGTATCAAAAGAAATAACCTAATATTATTATATATCATCTCTATGCTCTTTGTGTGGCTTTTAAATACTTATTTCTTTGATTGGCTACTGTGTTTTTATTCTGAATGTTCAGAATGAGAGGTTTGTATTTTTGTGGGAGAGAAACAAACTGAACTTTCCTAAACTAGATTTTACTGTTCAAAGTTGGAGAATATGTGTGAAGTAACTGATCAAATAAGCTGCCTGAAAAAAAAACCCACTCTGTGTGTTAGGGAAGGAGGAAATGCAAAAAAAAAAAAAAAAAAAAAGTTGAAGTGTTGTGTAGTTTTGTGTAGTTTCTCACTTGCTAAGCAAGTGATACTTTGGTGTGTGTTGTGAGTTTTTTGGTTTGGTGGTTTTTTCCCCCCCCATTATGAACCGGTATATTTATGAGTTGGTCTTGATTCATGTCTTTTGAGAAATGGCATTGTTGAATTTTTCTTGATTGATTTTGTTATGCTGTTTTAGAGATGCAATGATGAAAATTTTAATATAGAGATGGTCCCTTTAATATTCTTGCATCGAGTTCTTGGCTTATCAATTAATTTTAAGTGACAATAAAAGAAAATAAAGACCACAGAGAAGTGGATTCCAAGTACAGCTCCCTGTGTGAGTGACAAATTGCAATTAAGGATGAAAATAAGAGACAAAATTGTTGAAATTATTATTAGGGGGGAAAAACCCAAACAGGATATAACAGAAGATTGAAACTACAGTCTGTATACAAAATGCAGCAAGTCTGTGTTCGATTAGGTGTGTTTGTGTGCTCTGAAT